CTGCCATCTATAATCCAGTTTTGAGATCCCTTCCCAGACGCCTTAATGCCCACTCACATCCTGGGCCGTCTGACCTCAGGAAATCACATGATAGGGTGGGGCCAGGTTTCACAATGACTCTCCACCATTTGACCTTAGAACTGAAGAAGCTTCTCGGATGAAAGGTGAAACGTCTTCAAGCAACTCAAAGAAGTCCAGACGCTTTTCTTTGGATGACTGAGAATCTTCACAGACACCTTAATTTTAAGTTCTTTCAAATCCCTTGGATGTTGTCAAATTAACATACTTAATTGCAAAATGATTATTTTTTAGATTGGGTAGTTAAATCGTAACCTTACATTTTACTGTACTTACTTTGAAGGAGTTGCCTTTAGGGAAGTAATATCCCCCAAACTGAAGTAAAATAGTTAGTGTATCTGTGCTTAAGACCCCAAAGGGAAGTACGGTCCTCATAAGTGGCACAAAATGGTTTATCTGTGTTGGTTTATCACTGAAGACCCCAAAGGGGACATTAAACATTCCCAGTCCCGAATAGGAAGGTAAAAATACTGTATGAAGAAATATTGCTTAATGAAATGAAAATCTCAAGTGATTTTTTTTTATTTCTGTGGATTTGGAGGTGTAAAATTCAGTTGCCAGCCTGCTTCTAAACCAAACAGAAACCGGTGTCCCCAAAGGGTGGGAGTTAAAAAGTGCGACCTCAAATTTGACTCAAGTGAGTATACACACACGTGTGTATACCTCAAACACATATAAATTCCAAATTTATTTATTTATTTGTATTTATTTGAGAAGAAGCCCCAAAACTATGACAGAGCTTCCATTGTCCGAGCCATTTCTCGCTATATTAATATAAATGACTGAGCTTCCCATTTTTCTAGTGATAGATAGAATATTTTTTCTTAATACAAAAACAAATGGTAGAACAGGTTATAGGTATTAATACAAACATTTCTAAAAACCTTATTTATATCCGTTTATGAAACTATTTTTCCTCTGGTCAGCTGTCAGACTTGTTACCATTTAAAACTGAAAAAAGAAAAAGAATACAATTAGTTTCACATAGTACAGGAAATATAGGAAAATAATCAGCTGTCAAATAAAACAGTAAAATCATTACCTTGTGACATGTTAATCTGATTTGTTAGCAGCATTTCTGCTTCTGTTTCATTCATGTTCATGTATACAGTGTCAGCTTTGTTCTGTAGAAAGATTGTGATTATATTTGTTGGTACTGACTTGGAGCAATGCACCTTTAACTTAGGTTATCGCTTACTTTGAACTCTGCAAACAGAGCGCTGCCCATCACTCTCTGCACTTGGTCCTCAACAACAGGGAAGGAGACGACAAAGTACTACACAGAGATGAAAGCAGACATCAGAAGCTGATATTCATATGTCTGAATTAATGTTTCTTTCTACAGATGCAAAACCAAAACAAATGAGAAACGGAGATGAACCAAACACATTTTTACAAACAGCCCAACTTCAAGAAAAGCAGCCTCTGTTTCTACTTAATTACAAGGCTAGCACTTTCTGAAAAAAAAAAAAAAAAAAGGGCTTTACTGGAACACAATAATTGCAAATTACTGCTTACACATTTTTTTTTTAAAGAGGGTGGAGGCAGTGAGGACCAAGAAGCAGTCATAAGAAAACTCATAAGTAATCAGAAAATTCTATCAGAACAGTAACAGAAACTCAAACCATCTAAAAACAGTTGAAAATTGGGCAAGACATAATGACTTTAACTGCCCTGCTTCGTAGGCATGCATTAGTAGATTGCTGACAGGACCGCATTCAAGCATGAGGTAATGAAGCTCTCAAAAAGCAGTTCGTTTACAACTGTGAATATGTCCTATTCTACTGAAAAGAAAAAGTAAAAAACAAAAAAAAAGTGAAGTCTTAAAATAGAAGGCTGAAGCGCTTTATAGTATTTTTTTTATTTGTACCAAATTGGTTGTGAGAAAATCATCATAGGTGTCATCAGCCTGCTTTTTTGAGAAGACACACACACACTGAAGTACCTCTAACGTTAGGCTGGCTTGTATTTGGGCATCAGGATGTTCTCTGTTGCCCATAGTGTGCAGAAGATGCTGGATCACTCCAAGAGAGAGCAGCTCACGAGAAAGCTCTTGATCTTCCTCAGCCAGCAACCTTTAACAAATATTGAACATCATTAAAATGCAGAAAGGACATCGGGCATAAAACTGCCAAATCAAACATGGGGAGCTAC